TTATTTGATCTCCACTATTTCTAGATTTGAAAGGAAATTTATTTTCATAAAAAATAGCATCATCTGATTCAAAAATAATATTATTTTCCATGTCAAAAAATTCTATAGGCTGTACTGTGCAATGCATACCCAAGAAAAGCACAAGTGGTAGCTCGTTCACCCAATTTAGGTTGTTTAGGATCTGCAAGCCCTATAAAAGCTAAACAACCCCAAACCCTCAAATAACCTAGATTTGGTTTATGCCCTGCCACAACTCATAAGGTACAATTTTAGTCTTTTTGTGTGGCACTCTATTTATCACATGGCAAGTTGTCAAAATAGTCTCGCCCCAAAGATTTGAAGAAGCACCTGAATCAATATGCATAGCATTTGTCAAGTCAATTAACATTCTATTTTTTCTTTCAGCTACGTCATTAGATGAATGTGAATATGGTGGAGTAGTCTCATGAATAATTCCAATGACTGAACAAAAGAGTTGAATCCAAGAGATTTATACTATCGGCCTCTATCACTTCTAATTCTATTAATTTTTTTACTGAATTGATTTTCTACTTCAAGAAGGAATTCTTTAAATTTCTCAAAAGCATCACTTTATTTTTTAATAAATATACGTTTGTGTATTTTGAAAAATCATCAATAAAAGTGATAAAATATCGGTTATCACTTCGAGTTAAAATTCTTTCAAACTCACACAAATCAGTATGAAATAATTATAGCAATTTTGTATTTTTTTCAACACCTTTATGAGGCCGCTTGGTAATTTTTGCTTTACTGCAAATTTCATATTTCTCTAATTTTTTTGTCACTTTAAAAATTAATCCTAAATTATTCATGATTCCCACATATTTACTGTTAATATGACACAAGCGAGCATGCCAAAAATTAATAGAAGACAAAGTGTAAGTGGTGTCATAGTAATCATCGTAAAATTAATCAGCAAAGCAATTTAAGAGATAAAAAACGACATTTATACATATTTGTATTGTAGGAAGCCACTTTTGCTTCTTGTGCCTCGTAGTCTTTATCATTCATCTCGTCGGTTGGGATTTTGTTTGGGTTTTTCTTGGTAAGAACATATGCAACTTTCAAATGGCTGAGGTAAAAAATAACTTTTCATTTCCACCTCTTAAAATGAACTCCCTTGAACTTGAAAGGCTTGTTGAAATCTCCAATTCCATCATTCGTTTTTTTCTAATACTTGTTCCATGGTTGATCTCCTTAAAATTATTGGTGAAAATACCAGAAAAATCATATTTTATTGATAAATAATGTAAAGAAAATGAGATACAAATAGATCAGGCTGAAGAACCCAAATACCGATGCAGCAGTCACAAAACTATGACTTGTCCCCCCCAGGATACAACAGCTCGACCAGTTGTCGTATGGTTCAGACTAACTCTGCACAAGATGGTGAATCCAAAGCTCCACTAAGAAAAACACATTTCTTTACTATTCATATCTCAAGTATAAACAATAGTTAGTGTAGAAAATAGTAGATGAAGGGAACTATTTATAGGCTATTAGGACCTTACAAATTACACACAAAAATAATAATGACCATTAAACTAGAGACAAGGGAGAGTCTCTAAATATTAACTCATCACCAAATCCATTAACTTATAATTAATCTCTATTCATGAACAAAATAAAAAGTCACCAAAAAACAATGAATCTCCATTCACCAAACAAAATGAGATTCATGAACAAGACAAAAAAAGATACATGAACAAGTCCAAAAAAGTCACAAAATAAATAAATAAAAAATATTAAAATGGTCCAACAGAATAAAAGTCGAGAAGGAAAGAGATAGAGAGGAGAGAGAAAATCTATTGGAGAATTAGAGAGATAAAGAAGAAAGAGAAAGCAAGAGAAAGAGAGAGAGAGAGAGAAAGCGGAGGGTTGGGCCATTTGAGCCTTATTTTGTCGAGCTACCAGTCATTTCTGGAAATTAGTGAGAACAACAGTCTTTTTTGGAAAGATAGTTAAAAGTCATTTTTTAGTTATTAACTTATTTTGGGTCACATGATTTCTTTATTTTTTACACATTTTTTTTAAAAAAAAAAGTCAAGTAGGGAAAAAAAGATGTATGTTTTTGATAACTTTTTGACTTTTTACGAAAATATGTATAATAAAATATTGTAGTAAAATCAAAATAACCATTATACTCTTGTTGACTTTTTGAGTTTTAACTTCTTGACTTTTGGGTAGTTGAATTCAAAGGGCAAAACAATAATTTTGCCCTCTAGGCTTCTCCCACAAGCTTCTCCCAAATAGTATGAATTTTTTTTTTATTTTTATTTTAATTTTTTTTTACTTTTTGACTTTTGTAAACTATCCCAAATTTTGGTCCAAAAAATGACCCTAGAAATTTTAGAAAACAAAGGTTTCATCTGACTGTTATGTAAAGGGGATTTTTTTTAAGGTCATTGATATTAAGATTTTATAGTATAAAGGGCATTTAATATTTTCATAATATCTAAGGTCCCTCTAGATCGAATTTTCTCTAGACTTCACATAGAAATTATGGTTCACAAAGAATTTCTCTAGTCGAATTTTCTCTGGACTTCACAAAGAAATTCCCTCCAAATTAGAGAAATTCCCAGAGAAATTTGTCTCGTTACATGCAGAGAATTACTATGGAATCAAACTAGAGAAAATTGAAATTTTTCTGAACAAAATTGTTAATTTTTAAAACTAGATTTTACAAATACAAAGCAATTCACTGTGCTCCATTTGAAAAACCTGTATATTCACCATTATAGTGGCCTAGAGAGTGAGAGAGAGAGAGCTTTACATCAATGGCGTTTACTTACAAACCAGAGAAATTCTCTCTGATTTAATTTTCTATGTTAATTTTCTCTGTGTGATGGCCAGGGAAATTTGTTCATTTTCTCTGGCCAAATCACATACTCACCCTGTGATTTTCTCTAGCCAGACTACGTACTCATCCCTCATCTCTGTGTTAAACAACAATTAACAACTAATATTGAAATTAATTTTCTTTTACAAACACATTCATATAATCCGTATGCATATATATATATATATATATTAATCCATGGTACATTGGATTTGGAAAATGAGACAATGTAAAAGGCATTGTTGGTTGAATTGAGGATGATGAGATCGGACGATCCAAATTGAGGGAGAATGTGGAATCCATGGCCGTCGATGATTGTATTGATTGTGTAGCCATCTTCGAATAAGATGCTACTGTCAGCCATGGAAACTAAACGAAAATATTTCAAAAATTAAGGAAATTACGGAAAGTGAATTGAAGCAGAGAAGATAAGAGATATACATACATACATACATACATACATACATACATACATACATACCTTGAAGGTTGAAGAGAAGGAGAGAGAAAAAGAGGAGTGAAGAAGCCACGATTGAAACCCTTGTTTCTACCATCTCTATCAAAACCTAATCTACCACTCCTTTCTCAATCTTCTCTGCTACTCTCTCCGATTAACAAGACTTGTAATTCTCGAATTTGAAGACAAAAATATATATAGAGATCGAGGAGGAGGAGATGGATCCTCAATGTTGGAGATCGTCGGTGCTCTGTTAGATCGGAAACGAATTAACGAGGCGTTAGATAAATAGTTGAACAAATTTATCTGTGATATATGAGTGTGGGATTGAGGGACCTTAAAGATTATAAAATAATATTTTAGATCTCTTCTATTATTAAAAATGGGAGAAGAGAGTAATTTTTCCTAATTAAAAAAGTTAGCTTATTGTTTAAAAAATTCAATTTGAATGTTTAAAAAAAAAAAAAAACCCTCATAGTTTACTTAACAAACTCGTTTTTAATGATTTTTTTTAAATTTTTTTTTAAACTTTAATTGCCTTGAGAAATCATTAAAAACGTTATGAATGCACCAAATAAATTAGAAAATTAGAAATATTTCTGTAAGCGTATTTTTAATTAATTCTCAATGGAAGCCTTACAAATATATGGAAGCCTTACAAATATATATATATATATATATAAACACATTAGACAAATCGCCATGATATATGAAAATAAAATTTTAAATTTCAAACAATTATTTAGTATTTGAGAGGGTAATTTTTGGGAAAATTGGGCCGAGCTTCGAGTTGGGTTTTGAGGCCCAAAACTTGTCTATTTGTCAAGCTTACTGACTTAGCCATCGGAGACGTTTCCGACACACACCCGCCGGCTAGCTCACGTTTGTGTTTTCAGGTGACAAAGCGACGTCGTACGGAGGAGCGTGGACTTGGTCAACAGGATTATACGAGGAGAATTATTTCCTCCCCGTACAGTATTTATAATTTTTTTAAGATTCATGATATTAAGATTTTATAAAATAAAAGGCATATAATATTTTCATATTAATTAGAGCCCCTCAACATTTTCACATAGAAATTTTGTCCCAATATAGAGAAATTTTAATTTTCATAAATAAATTTCTCTAATTTCATATTTTTTTTTTTGAAATTTTCTTTGTGAGAAGAGAAATTTTTAAATTTTTTTGGTATAATTATAGAAAATTTCATCGATGAATCTTACCTAATAAAAAAATATATTTAATCTATTCTACTACCCAAAGTAGGGCTGAGCAAGCGATCCGTGAAATCCGTAATCCGATCCAGTCCAGTCCAATCCGATAGGTTTGGATTGGTTTTTTGAATCCGTGGTTCGGTTCCGGATTGAAGAATTAAAAATCCGTAGTCTACGGATTGGTTCTGGATTGAACCCCACGGTTCCGGATTGAAACCGATCAGAACATGTTGGCTACATATTTTGTAAAAGCCAGTTACAGTTCGACACGTGGCATAGTAAGGGTAATAAAGGAAGGTTATTCAAGCCTTTAATCCTGATCGTACACGTGGCAATAAGTATTGGTCCTCACATGATCTGAGTAACACTAGATCAAATAACAGGAAATTTGAATATAAAAACAATTTGTAATATTTTTTAAATTATTAGTAAAAAAAATTTGGAGATCCACCTTACTTGCAAGATCCCCTCAAAAAAAAAGAAAAAGAAAAAAGAAAGAGGGTAGGAGATTTGGCACTCTCCAGACTTCACTCAGATCCTCACAAGCTCCACTTCTCAATAATTTCGCTTCCTTCTCTTCCTCTGTGGTTCGTTCAATTGTAATTCAGATCACTATTTCTTGATTTCTCTTTCATTCATAAATGTCTTCAAATTCGCTGTTCTTCTCCAGATCGATTACCTAATCAGCTGAATTTACTAATAAACTGTGTTCACTTTCGTTGGATTTATAGGGTTTTTAATGAATTTGTTTTGGGAATTTGATCATTGAATTGAGTTATTCTGAATTGTGTCTAAGAGATGGCCTGGTTCGGTGGGAAAGTCTCATTGGGGAACTTCGCTGATCTCGCTGGGGCTGTGAATAAGATCAGTGAGAGCGTCAAGAACATTGAGAAGAATTTTGATAGTGCTCTTGGTTTTGAGGAGAAATCTGATTCCAGCACCAGTGAAGGTATATTCTTTTGTGTATCTGTAAATTTCTCTCTGTATAGCTCATTTTTTTTTTTTGTGTGTAAACAACAATGGTGTTGGAGGGTTACTTGTAGTTAGTTCTAATATGCTTTGGTTGTTAACTGGTGCCTTTGAAGTGTTTCTCTGTTGATAAGTTTGCTGCCTTGTATTTTGTTTTCACCCCAGTGTAATATGTTTGCTTTTGTTATATGAAATCTTAACTTACCAAAACACAAACAATAATGGGTTTGATTGAGATTTTTCAATGGAGGCTGCTTTGCCAATTACTCCAAGTAGATATTGTTAAATCACCACTAGTCCTGAAAACTTAAACTTTTAGGCTAGGAAGCACGGGTATGCTAATACTGCAAAGCCAAAAAAAGTAGGTTACGGTTACGGTCTGGTGCATCTATAAAAAAATATTTTTATAATTTATACTAATACATGACATATAATGATTAAAAAATCAAATGTAAAGAACAATTAAAGTATTTTTATAATGGTCAAAAAAAGAAAAAATTCATATTTTTGATAATTGTAAAAGTACCCTATGTTTTTGAAGTTGTAAAAAGAAGCACAATATAATTATTCTAGTATATTTTGATGAAAAATTTACTTATATGCCTCAAAGTACCCGTAAAAGTACCCAAACTGTACCCGTCTTGTACCCATGTCGTACTGGTCCTGTACCCACGCTGTATCCACTCCATTCCCGAAGTATTTTGTGTATCTGGTATGCGTAACAGTACCAAGTAAATACCCACTGCTCGTATGACAATATTTTTGGACTACCCATGCTTCATATCTTTTAGGAAATGGACCTAACAATGTCTCAAGCTATCCAACACCCACCATCATGAGCATCCCGTTTTGTACATGGAGATGCAAACATCCTTACCTAGAAAAAAGAAAGAATGTCAACAAGAGACAAAGAATGCAAATGAAGACTTAATGCAAATGGAGGCAACTGAACCCAAAACCTCACCCAACCTGAGATCTGATACCATGTTAAATCACCACTAGTCCCAAAAGCTTAAATTTTTAGAAAATGGGCCAACAATGTATATCAAACTTTCTAGTAGCTACAACTTATATTTTAGGGGGAAGATAAATTTACCTCATTATTTTACCAATTCCAGCTTCTCACATTTTCAGGGATTGTTTATGAAACTTTAAAATGGTAATAGTGAGCCCTTGTCTGGCCCATTATTGGGAGCTGAGGAAGTTGGTTATTTCATGGGGGGAAAAAGAAGAAGACAAAAAAATAAATTATGAGGACCATACACTAGTCAACTGTTGATTGTTGTCGTGTTAGCTCAGCTAGTATGGTTAACCTGGTTTCACTGTGAGTTGAGATGTCTTGGATTCCGAGACTACCCTAATATCTTATGAATGAGTGTAAATTTCTGTGTGCTTATACCCAATAAAGGGTTTAAAGCCTTTGCCAAGATCCTGTACACCATTATCAGTTAACATGCTGCCATCAAATTACTGACTTGTTTGCCTATTAAAAAAAAAATCATACTTAATTATCTTCTCCTTATTCTCATACCGAAGTTTTCAATATCAAACCGTATCCAATATATTTGTATGAGAGTCAAAATGATGATTTTGGACCTTTTTTTAAACGTCCTCCCTATATCAATTCCAGCTTCAGGATTATGGCCGTCAACCACAGACAGGAAAACACTATTTGAACCTGTCATGGCCTTCATGGGGCATCAAGGTGGTGAAAGTACCGTAGAATCAATTGAGAAACCTGAGTTGTTGAAGCCACCATCTTCTGTTGAGGAAAAACAAGTGGGTGAGATTGATAGGTCCACAGATTTTGCTACTGAACAAACCAGACCTGCTGAAGAAGTAAATGAAGAAAGTTCTCACATGCTTCCAGATGCTGCAGAAGGAACAAATATTGCAATTACTGATGGAATAAATGCTGTTTTGGTAGAGCCTGGTAAATCTGAATCTGATTTACAACCGATACCTGTTGAATTATCTGAATCCAATGTTGAATATGTCGAAGAACCAGATTCCTTGAACCATCTCAATCAGAAGGAGACCTCAGCAATGGGGCCCTCTGAAAGTTCCGAGTCAGTGGAAGCCAAGCCAGGAACCAATGAAGTAGATCAAGTTGAGGTTGGCACCCCCGTGTCACCTGAATCACATAATGTTATCAATTTGCATGAGATCACAAATGAACAGAAGGCAGAAGAAGAAGAGGTTGCAGAGAACCTTTCTCCAGTTCAAGCTGAGGATGCAGCGAGTGGTAGCCAAGCTGGAATGGGGGTAGAGCTCACTGGTTTCGGTTTTGCTACTTCTAAGGAGATTGAAAGTGATGAGGGATACGTTACAGATACCTTGCCAGATGTGCAACCTCCAGATGAGGCTGCAGAGACAGTTTCTGAATCAGTTTCTCATGAAAATGACACATTTGGTAGAGGAGTTGACTTGAATGAACAAGCCAGTGATTATGAACCCGACATTAAAGAACAACGTGTAAGTTCAGGAAGCTCCACATCTGTCATTGCAGATTCTGTAGTTGAACTAGAGAAGTTGAAGAGGGAAATGAAAATGATGGAAACTGCACTACAGGGAGCTGCTAGACAAGCTCAGGTAATTTACATTTTATAATCATTTCGTGGCAAGTGTGACTTCTATTAAAGATTCTTGCCTGATGCGTAGAATTTGAATTTAGTTGAGAGCTTGAGTTTAATTGGGGTTAGAAAATCTGTTTTCTTAATTTTATATAAAAGTTGTTTGTAGTTTAGCATCATAACTGCCATACACAGAGACACACACATGTATATTGTAGGAGTTGAAGCCAAAGTTTATGAAGTGGATATCAGTTCAGATAATTTGGTATTTAGCTGGTTGATTTTGAGTTACTATCTGGGGAAAGTTGGATAGGAATTTTGTTTTTGAACGTGAAACCAAAAATTATTCAAGTAGGGACATTAGTATTTTAACTATTGCATTTGTTTCTGATAAGATATACAGCCTACTAGGACCATTCTGGTCTAAATCTGTTTGTTTAAAGGCCTGTTTTATCTCATTTAGATTACTCACTTATATATGTTTGTTGTTCCACGTTCATTCCAGACCAACTCTAAGAAGTTTAGCTTGCTGACCGTAGACTAACAAACATTTTCTGTAAAATTAACTCTGGGTATGTTGCTACAAAACAACTTTCACTGTTAGCCTATTTTGCTTTGTCCTTTATTTTCTTTTATAATTTTATTTTTTGGTCCGTAGCACGGTTAAACCGTTTACTGCTCGAGGCCTCGAACTTTCTGCATCTTGTTTGTTCATTTTCTTGAGTCTAAAATTTTCTTGAAACTTCATTAAAATGTTTTTGTTTAGTATGGTATGAAAATTTAAATCATTGAGCTAATATTAATTTGTTGTCTTTTTGTTGCTTTTTGAATCTCTAATTATATTTTTCATTATTCCTAAATATCTTTTTACCTGTATAACTTCACATTTTGATGGCTCTTCTTATCCTTAATTTTATGTCTCCTTACTGCATTCTATAATATGACATTTATGCTTCTTTTATTGAATATATAGACTTGTCGAAATCCAATGGTTTTGTGTTTCTATTTTTCCAGGCAAAAGCAGATGACATCGCAAAGTTGATGAATGAGAATGAGCATCAAAAGGCTGTAATTGAGGATTTAAGGGTAAATATGGTTGTTTTATTTTCCTTTTACTTTATTTGTATTGTACTTGAAAAGGGATTGCTGGATTTTGGTTGAGAAAGGCTTTTGTATCTTTGACACCAGAACAATTGGTTATTCTTCCACGTGCTTTGATATAAAGTTGATGCAGATCATAAAAATGTTTTAAGAAAGTTGTGAAATCATAATAAAGGAATCGTTAATACTGGCACCAAAAAGGAAAAACAGAACTAATCGTATCTTACTATTGGTATGAAATCCCTAATAACTAATTGTATGAAATCTCCTTTATTTTCCCATCATTGTTTGGTTTGTGTGTGTCTAGACTTCTTCCTCTTCTTACTTATTTTTGGGCATGAGCAGCGGGCCCTATGTTGAGTAAGGGGTGTCTAGACACATTTTTGTCACACAATATGGTGAGCATCTCAGATGTGTAAGGCATGCCTTAGTTCTTGCAGCATATGCTCAGAGAAGCTGGCCTTAATCACCAAGACTGCCTCCCAAGGCATTAGTTTCTCATTCATTAAAATATCATCCATGAAGATAAATTTAACGTGGTTTATTTTTTGTTACTTTAAAATACAATAAGAATTTTGTTAATTTTAATGAATTTTTGTAGAGTATTTGTGGTTACCACCAACTCTTTTCCCAATTAGACCTCCAGGTATATACTCATGGTTTTTCATATGGGTTTCTCTTAGCGTGATGCTTGACTATTGCGACATCTTACGAAAATTTCATTTTTTAATGTCCATTTGAACAGTTTGGTTGTCTTGCATCATTCCTTTCATTTTGGTTTGAACTTGTTTCATTATTGTCTCCACTTTCATATATATGTAGTTGCATTGTTGTTTATCTTATATATGGTTTTGCTCTTTTTTCCCTATATATATATATATATATCCGTACATATATTAGTTTTCACTTTTTAACTGGTAAGAATTTTTCTTCAGAGAAAATCCAATGAAGCAGAAATTGAGTCACTACGGGAGGAATACCATCATAAGGTTGCAGCTCTTGAAAGAAAGGTGCATTTCCTTCTATCATTTTTGGATTTTGTTTATGCTAACTTGTTTGAGCTAAACAGGGTAATACGATGAATTACTACTTTTTGTCTTTGTATATTTTATGTTAGTCCTACTTAAGTGAAAACCTTTAGATTATGAAGTATCTCTTCGTAGTTCAAACATGGAGTTTACTCCTACTCTTGTTTCCCCAAAATTATATGTCGTATATGTGATCGAGATAACAGGTAATTTTGAGTAGTTGTTGTGTTTTTTTGTTTTTTTAATCATTTTTGTAAATGGTGTCCTCATGCATGGGTGTAACTGTGGATTATTGTAGTTTATATTATTCATTAAGGATAGTTTAGTGCTTTAGGTTGTTAGGGTTTCATTCTATTAGCGGTAGCAATAGTGATAGAAGAAGAAGGAGAGACACAATTATTGAGGAGAGATGCAATAGGGGTCATATGATGTGAACAACTAGAATCAAAGATCTACGAAGTGTGGATATTACCTGAAGAGGATGAATTAGACAAACCTAACTGAGTGGTAGTCATGGCGGAGGCCTATGACGAAAGATTTGGATTGGCCACCACGAAAGACTTGAACTGCTCAAACGTAGACTGCGTATTGGAAGATGGATCATTCTCAAAAATTGGTGCAGAAAAGGCAACAGATGAGCAAGATCTTGAAAATGTTAGCTTAGCGAATGGTGGACCAGATGAAGGACCCTTAGGCTGCAAAAGTTTACGACAAGCATGTTTCCAATGGTCTTTCTGATGACAGAAGCTGCACTCATCCATGGAAACCCGAGGCTTGGGCCTACCAGTAACTTGAAATAAAAGAGAAGATGGGGTGGGTAAGAGCGGAAGAGTGGCAAAAACTAACTGGGAAGCAGGAGCACCATGAGCCGCCGTAAACCGAGTTTCTTTCGCAAGAAGCTCACGGACAGCACCATCCACAAAGGGCAAGGGAGACCGATGAAGAATAGCTCCTCGAAGTAGCTCAAATTGATCACGAAGGGCCATAAGAAATTGAACAAGATGTTGCTTCTCCCGATACTTGGTATAACTGTCAAGTAATTGCAGATCTGATGGTTCCATCAGAGCAAGCTGATCCCAATAAGTAGTTATCTTATTGTAGAACTCCTGAATGGACTTATTTTTTTGACTAGCACGGTGAATAGACATCTCAAGTTCATACTGTTTTGCAAAGTTAGACTCAAGGCACATAGTTTTCAAATAGTCCCTAACTTGTTTAGAAGTAGAATATTTGAAAAAATTCATACCAATGATAGTTTGAACTGAATTATAAAACCAAGTAAGAATTTGTGCATTTTCCTTATCCCATTTAGCAACATCGACCTCAGTTTCTTGGGATTCGTCTAATAGTCACACCAATAACATAGTTCTGCATGTCTTTATCCATTATAAAATTTTTCATTACATGAGACCAATAGGAGTAATTGGTACCATCTAATTTAGTAGTGATAGCTTGCAATTTATCATCAACCGTAATACTATAATTAAGCAACATAGTAGAATCAAAGTAGAGTCACAATTAAATAACCAGAGTTGCTATTGCTATAATTAAAGAACTGGTGAGGTCAAACTTATAATAACCAGAGTTGTGTTCCAATCACCCTTAAATAGCAATCAGAGAGAGAACCACGGCAAAGCAAAGAGAGAGAGAGACAGAAATTGAACCTAAACCCAGAGGGCGAAGTCGATTTCAGATACCAGGTTGAGCAAGGGCAGACTTTACTTTGATCGTGTGAACAAGAGAGAGAGACAGATTACCAATCAGAGTCACACATAATCGATCGAACTAGAGGTACCAGTTGAGGGGTCGAGCTTCGAAGTGCGACGAAGAGAACAGAAAACCCCCGGCGAAGGCCTTGCAAAGAGAGAGAAAGGGGCTGTGATGATCGATGCTTTCTGTGAAAGGTATGCGAACGGTTGTAACTTGACTCTGATACCATGATAACGGATGAGAAAACTTGTATTATCTTAATCAAAGGAGTACAAATATATAAGCGCTAATAGAATGAAACCCTAACAACCTAAAGGACTAAACTATCCTTAATGAATAATATAAACTACAATAATTCACAGTAACTGAATTACTTTTGTGAATGTACTAGTTCTTGTCATGCTTCATCTTTGGTCTGATCTATTTGTTATATGATGATTCCATCTTTTATAAGTTTATTGACTGAAGTTTGTTGAGAATTTTCTCAGTTAGAAGGCATTCCTTGAGTTCATGTCCAAAACTTTGTGCTATTGAAATTTGTCACTGGACTAGACCATTTGTTCACAATTATGACTGGACAGATGTGCAGTTATTGACAGTGGAACCATGCTCGGGTTGTCATTTGTGTCGTGTGTTTTTGATGCTTTACAATTACATTTCATGCTTCAGTCATCGACAAAGGACTACTGTGATTACAACTTCATTTTGGGCATATATTGGACATGTTCACTTCATCTGCGTGCTCAACACCTATATTGACTGTGTCGTGATTGCCACATGGTTCTTGTACAAGTGTTTGGAAGGGTTGTATTCATTATCAATATTGTAATTGCTGCTGATTTAATCATTTTGCTTTCTGAATTCAGGTTTATGCTCTCACTAAGGAAAGGGATACATTACGTAGAGAGCAGAGTAAAAAGAGTGATGCCGCTGCTCTTTTGAAGGAGAAAGATGAAATAATCAATCAAGTTATGGCTGAAGGTGTGAAATGCACTTCTAAAAGTTGTTTATTAAGTATTCTATTTGTTCATGAACTGTTTAGTGGTGCATAGAAAGCTTTCTATTTGTTTGTTTGAGAATTAGGAATTTTGGTAAATTTGGAAAATTTCAGCCCTAGTTTGTAGACATAATTAATAAGAAAAGAATGTTGAATGCTAAAATATGATAAAGCATGTTTGAGTTGTGTCTCAACTGCTTACGAACATGTATAATATCCATCTCTACTGAAGAGTAATATGACCCTTCTTTCATTCTGATCATATTTGATGATATTCATAATTCATCCCAGGTGAAGAGCTCTCAAAGAAGCAAGCTGCTCAAGAGTCTCAGATTAGGAAATTGAGGGCCCAGGTATACAAACTGGTCTACTGAGTTTCTCATTATCGAGAAACTAATCTCGTTTCTGTTACATCTTTTGCTAAACAAATCTTATTTCTTTTATGGAAGCTAGATTAGAGATCTTGAAGAAGAGAAGAAAGGACTAACTACAAAGCTACAGGTAATTGAATTCTCAAAGCATTTTTGTAAGCCATTAATTTTGTGGCTAATATTTTTGAACAAAAAATGTTGTTTCCATCATTAGGAATTGTGGATGATGTGGACTAAAAAAGTTTCTAAAGAATTGGTTGCTTAAATATTCTGCTTTTTTTTTGGTAAAAAAGATGCCATTTAAGATGATAAGTTTATCCTCATATCCTCATGAAATTTCGGGCAATCCATATAATGCTCATCTTAGAATAAGTTACATACCTGTGGTTTGTCTTTGTTTTCCTTTGTAGAGTCAGGGAAAATGGTATTTGAACTCCTTTTATGTTTCCTCTACCTTAGCATTAGTTGTCATCTTCTTTGCTTTCCTAAGATTTTATACAAAGTTTTTGTCATCTATTCTATAATTTCATGGAAACATCGGGTTGCTAAGGGAAATATGTAGTCTTACTAGAAAACACTAATAGAAGTTTACGTTTTGGAATTTGATGCGACAATCTAGAAATTCTTAACTGCCATTGTGCCCATGTCTAAACCTCAGAGGCTGTATCATGGGACTATTGTGGGTAGGTACTTAAGTTTTGAGATCGTATCATAATGCTACAGAGGTGGGTGGATGTGTTTTTCGGGGAGTCGCATGTCTTTGTCTAAGACTGGTCTAGGTGGAGCCGCCCCAAAGGGGTGGACCAGACAACTTTAACGACCTCTCAACTCTATCCTCCAAAACCACATACAGTGATCCGGAGCAGAGACCCCTTGGCTTGCTCCCTGTCTTGGACGACGTGATTGTCTTCATGTTATGTATATGAGACTGCTTAGTGGGACACTGCTAAGTATGAAGTTCTTGGGCAAGCCAAAGATGGAGACTGAGCGGGTATAATGTGGAGCACATGCTTGGCTAGAGAATGGGCATGGCTAGGCCTTGGACATGGCTAAGGGAGAATATAATAAATTGAGTGTCTGTTAGAGCGAGCCAGGGGTACTGAGCGCAAAACTTATGAGTAGAAGAGGCTATCGCTTGTGCAAAGACTCCTTGACCAAGTGTCACGGGTTGCCTTGCAAGGCTAACTCCGTGACGTTTCGCTCGCGGTGGTGTGGCCATTTGAGTGCTCAAGAGTGGCCGTTGGAAGTGCCTCAACGTGGCTTAACATTGGCCCCAAGCAGCCCAAGGCATGCGAGCCAGCAGCAGCAGCAGTAGCAGCACACGGCCAGCAGCAGCAATAGCCAGCAACACTAGCCAATAGTGCAAATTTTTGGTGTGTTGTTTAGGCATCCAAATGAAGGAGTTTCGAGTTGAAATTTTATTGGAAAGAGGTCTTCGGGGAAGTGTTTTCCTGACCAAGTTTCATGATTTTTCTCAACTTGTGGAATTTATGAAAAATCATTATGACATATTGATGTTTCCTCCTGCCAGAGGGCTAATTGCTTAACAAGCATATATAAGGGGGCAAGGTGTGCTACCTACCTACCTATCTACCTACCTTTCCACCCAAACTGGGCTTCAAGTGAGCAACCTTGGGGCAACTCAAGGGTGGGCTTTAGGCATCCAGAGGGGTGTCTAGAGTCTCCACGTGGGTTTGGGAGCCCCGTGGACGGTGCAATAATGTAGGCACTACGCGTGCCTCCCGAGGGAGAGTTTCACCACGTTGCTTCCATGATGCCATGCAATATGGCATCTTTGGGACTCGTTTTGGACCGAATGGGCTATCGAGGCACCACTAAAGGCCTCGTGTGCCAACTCAAGTGCTTAGTTTGGGTTCAACCTTGCACGAGGGGATCTCGTGGCTTAAGCTAAGCTGTTGGAAGGCGACACCGCATATGTGGGCTATCAAATAAAGGCATCAAGCTATGCATTGACTAAGTCCATTGAGGGACTACATTATGCTACAAGCAAGCTACGGATTAAGATGTTGCCTTACTCATGCTACACGTTGGTGCAACGCTAAGGTGCGCAATGGCCTTGGGTGGAATCTAACACACGTGTTGGCACGAGGATTACGCCGTGGGCAAGAGATTGATCCTTGGTGGCTTGTGGGCTTCGCATGACCAAGTGGCCATCCAATTTGCATCTATTGAGGCATGTTTGACCCTACGACACTTTGAGATGCTTTTAAAGACCCAACGTGCAATGTTGGCTTGTCGGCTAAGTCGAGGGCCTTTGCTAACACATTGTTGTGTGGCTAGGCATCTTGGTGACATAAACCTAAGTTGGGTGAGCACCTTGCTTGAGGTAAGCTTGGCGCTATGAAGCGACTTATACCGTGCTTGGTGCACTTGAGGCGTTAGGCCTACTTGTGGCATCCGGGTGAAGACGGAGCTTCCTTGTGAAGTTGTTTTGCTTGACAAAGCATTGGGCCCTAATGTTCAAACGGGTGAGACCATCAACACTCGACTTGTCAATGAGCTACGGCGGGCTTAAACTTGATGGAGTTTGAGCGCCACACGGGCGAAAAATTGATCCCTTGCGCCTCTAAAGGAGTTGGCCCGTGACACCAAGCCAAGGGATGCATGTGCAATCCAAATCACACCTTAATGCTTTGGCTTAGGGCAAGGCTATACCATAAACGCTTGCTTTGGCCATTATAGTTCAACCTAGGAGGGGAGAAGTGGAAATTCATCCTTGGCCATGTGTCACCTCACTAGGCTGACACAGTGACACATGGCACCATTCTCTTAGGAGATGCCAACATGGAGATGATGTGGTGATGCCACGTAGAAGATCAGACAGTTCTCCAGTATTTTACCTTTCTAACTAATGGTTGGAAACGCTTAGATCATCTCCTGGATTACAAGTCTGTTTGTATAGTTGACTCAGTTGGTTACTAGAAGTTTCTTGCACAAGAGAGGGTCTTCAAGTTTCTGGAAGGCTTCAATGTGTAGTTTGATCCGGTCTAGAGTCGTGTCTTTGGCATGAATGTTCTTCCATCTCTTCAAGAGGCTTTTGCATATGTATAGAATGAGGAGAGTCATCGTTCTGCTATGTTACCACAGGCTACTGGAGACCGTTCAATAATACTTTCTACTCCTTCTCAAGATGAGGCTAGTTTGTCACTACCTCTTTCCCATCCTTCAGGGAAGGATACTATGTTTTGTGATTATTGCCGCAAGCCACGGCATACTCGTGAGACGTGTTGGAAGCTTTATGAGGCTCAATCAGGGAGTCGGGGTGATCGGTCTGGTACTAGAGGCGGTCGATCAGGCCAGTTTAGACGACATGGCTCTAATCCACGGGCCCATCAATCTAGTGTTGTTGACACCCTTGATTATACTTCCGCTTCAGTTGGTCTGACTTCTGACAGTTTATCTAGCATGACTTCTCCTGAGCTTGAGGATGTTTTGTGTTATTTGCTGGCCCACCAGCCTCCTATTGCTTCCAGTGCATCTTCCTTGTTGTTTGCCCGCTCAGGTAACTTAGCCTATTCTCCTAGTACTTTTCTTTCCCAAAACTCTTTGTCATAGATTATTGATTCTGGTGCCTCAAATTATACGTTTGGGTCTTCTGACCTTTTCTTAGTATATAAGCCCTCTTCAAGTCAAGACAAAGTTAGGATTGCAGATGGTACTGTTTCTTCTATCTCTGGGAAAAGTTTAATTCATGTCATCCTTACCTTGCCTTTGTCTTCAGTGCTCTACGTTCTCAATTTTTTTTGTTAATCTTCTATCTTTGAGTCGTATTACTAAGGATTTGAACTGTAGTGTGACATTTTTTCCTCATCAAAGTCTTTTTCAGGACCTTGTCACGAGAAGGACGATTGGCAGTAGTGGTGCAGAAAATGGTCTTTACTTCTTGGATCAGCCGAATAAGCTTGCTCATCACTCCATCCAGTTCCCAACCACCAAGGAGGATTTATGGTTGTGGCATCGGCGTCTTAGGCATCCTTCTTTTCATTTACTTAGACATTTATTTTTGTCTGTTTTTACAAACAATAATGTGTTTGAGTTTCTTTGGGAGTCTTATCAACTTGGCAAACAATACCGAGCTTCTTTTGCTCCAAGTCTTAATAAAAGTTTAGCTCCTTTTTCTTTAATACATTTTGATGTGTGGGGGTCCATCTCGTGTTGTGTCTTTAAAAGGCCATAGATAGTTTGTTACCTTTATCGATGATTTTTCTCGTACTACTTGGGTGTATCTCATGAAAGAAAAAGTGAGGTTTTCTTTGAGTTTTAAATTTTTTTATAAAATGATTTGTACTTAGTTTGGGGTAATTGTCAAAATCTTGTGTTATGATAATGGGGTGAATACATCGATTCGGGGTTAGGGAGCTATTTTTCTACTCATGACATTATACATCAGATATCTTGCATCAATACCCCTAAACAAAATGCGGTTGCAGAGCGCAAGAATCGTCATCTTCTTGACATGGCTTGCTGCATGTGTTTTTTTATGAGTGTATCTCGGTCCTACTGGTTCGAGGCCATTCTCACCGTAGCCTATCTCATTAATCGTCTTCCTACCCAGGTTTTGTAAAAATAAGCTCCACTTCAAGTCCTTCTCGGTTTAGAATCTTTGTTTTCCATTCCCCCTAAAATATTTAGCTATGTCTGTTTTGTCCACAATCATTCTCCTACTCATGGTAAGTTGGACTCACGCTCTCTCAAGTGTGTTTTCCTCGGATATTTGCTTACTCAAAAGGGGTATAAGTGTTGTTACCCTCCTTCTCGTAAATGGTTTGTGTCCATGGATGTCTCCTTCGTTGAGTCTCGGTCCTACTTCTTGTATTCTTCGGTGTCACAGTCATCTTTTCAGGGAGAGCCTTAGTGTGAAAAGATTCCTATTGCCTCTGTTGCTCCTATGGTGGAACCAGTTGTTCCTGTACCACTTATTACTGGGACTAAAGAATCCAATGCCCCAAGGATAGGAAAGGGAAAGCTTATATTAGGGACAAAGATAGACAAAAAGTTACTTGGATATAAGAGATCACTTCTACTCACCCACTGCCATCTCCTATTTCTGATAAAAGTCTAGGTAACTTTGAACCTCTTGTTTCTCTTGAGTCTACTAATATTGCTATTCCTGACACTACTGATCTTGACTAAGAAGCACGGACACTTCTAAGAAGGTGGCGTATCCGTGCCGTGTCCTTGTCGGACATACACTTTTTAAAACGTGTCCTATTTTTTTAAATTTTTTTAAAGAGCCGAGCACTCTTTGGACATTTGAAGGATACACGTGTCAATTGCTTAAACATGTGTTTATCGATTAGACACATGTGAAGCTAATTATAAGTTTGAATAAAACAATTTACTATATAATAATAAAACAAAACCTATATAAATTTATAGGAATTAGTGTCATATTGCATTTTTTATTATCTTTTAATGATATATTTACATATATAACATATAATAAATATCTAAAATTATATATTTCATGCGTGTCCCCCACGTGCTATGTTTTGCATTCTTTGAAAATTAATGTGTCGATGTGTCCGTATCGTATCTGTGTCGTGTCACGTGTCCGTGTCCGTGTTTCTTAGGATCTTGATAGTCTTATTGCCAAGAGAAAGGGTGTGAGATCTTGTACTCAACATCTTATCTCAAACATTGTGTCCTACTCTCATTTGTCTTCCTTGTATAAAGCCTTTGTGTCAAACATTTCATTTGTTAGTATTCCTAACCATTTTCAGGATGCTCTCGCTACCTCTAAATGAAAACTTGCCATGATTGAGGAAGTGAAAGCACTTTGTAAGAATGCCACTTGAGAATTAACTGAGTTACCTAAGGACAAACGGCCAGTGGGATGCATATAGGTGTATACTGTGAATCACAAAGCAGATGATTTCGTTGAGCGTTACAAGGCTTAACTTGTGGCAAAAGGCTTCACGCAGACTTATGGAGTAGACTATCAGGAGACTTTTGCACCAGTGGCTAAGATGAATTAAGTCAGAATACTTCTCTCTTTAGCAGCTAATTTAATTAGTCATTTCATTAGTTTGATGTAAAGAATGTTTTCTTATATGATAATCTAGAAGAAGAGGTATATATGGACATTCATTCTGGTTTTGAATATCATCATACAGAGGGTAAAGTATGCAGGTTTCAGAAGTCGTTATATGGTCTCAAACAGTCTTCAAGGGCTTGATTTGAGAGATTCATTGAGGCTATACTTAAATATAGTTTCAAACAGAGTCAGGCAGATTACACTTTGTTTGTGAAATATTTCTCACGTGGTAAGACTACAACTCTCATTGTTTATATGGATGACAAATACCCATGTTGAAGAAATATTTAGCTGGTGAGTTTGAAATAAAAAACTTAGAGAACTTGAAATATTTTCTAAGAATTGAAGTTGCTCGCTCTAAGGATGGGATTTTCATCTCACAAAGGAAATATGTTATGGACCTTTTGAAGGAAACACGGATGCTTGGATGTAAGGCCTATGATACCCCATTGGAACCTAATCAGAAACTTGGTGATGATGAAGCAGGAACATCTGTTAATAGGGGGAGTTATCAGCGACGAGTGGATAAACTCTTTATTTATCTCACTCTCGTCCTGATATTGCTATTGCTGTCAGTATGGTTAGCCACTTTATACATGCTCCTCATCAAATTCTCTTAGAGGTTGATATGAGAATTATGAGGTACTTGAAATCTTCTCCTGGAAAAGGTCTTTACTTTTCCAAACATGATCACCTCAGAGTGAAAGCCTATACAGATGTTGATTGGGCAGGGTCAATAATTGATAGGAGATCTATATTAGGATATTGTACCTTTGTGGGCGGCAATCTTGTTACTTGGAGGAGTAAGAAACAGAATATGGTGGCTAAATCGCGTGCGGAAGCTGAGTTTAGAGTTATGACACAAGGTGTGTATGAACTCGTGGATCAAATTGTTGTTGCGTGATTCGGGGATGAGCCAAGCAAACTCTATGCGGCTATATTGTGATAATAAGTCTGTCATCAACATAGCTCACAATCCTGTTCGACATGATAGGACAAAGTATGTTGAGATTGATTGCCACTTCATCAAGGAAAAACTCACCAGCAGCATGATATATGTTCCTTTTGTAAAGTCAGACGAACAACTTGCAGACATCCTCACCAAGGGAGTTGGGAATAAACCATTTCATGACATTCTAGGCAAGCTGGGTATGCGAGATATCTTCACACTAGCTTAAGAGACAGTGTTAGAATATTTTCTTATTTCCTTATTTAGATTAGATTGTGATTGATTGATTGATTGATTGATTTTGATTCCTTAATCAGTCAATCAATTAATTAATATAAAAGGTGATTCCTTAATCAGTGCCTTAAGACTTCCTTTTGTAACAATTGATTGATTAATATAAAAAGTGATGATATCATAATCATCACATAAGCTTTGTATTCTCTTAAATTACAAATTAATGTATTGCCCGTTAGACTTACAGAATATGCTGAACAATGTTTTCAGCCGTTTTGTAAATCTTTGTCATGAGGTTCAAGTTTGCTCTACATTGGAGATCACTGGAAGCGTAGTCAAAAGAATTTTAGCTGACATCTTGAGTAATAGGGCTGCAAATGAACCGAGCTGCTCATGAACAGGCTCAACTCGGCTCGTTAAGGGTTCGGCTCGGTTTGTTTAGTAAATGAGCCAAGTTTGAACTTGCATAAGCTCGGCTCGTTTGTCTTTATTTAAATAATATATAAATATATAAAAATAATAGTATAAATACATATTAATATTAAAAAAAATTTATCGAGCCGAGCCGAGCCGAACTGAGCTCGAGTTTCATTAATATTAATGAGTTCGAGTCGAGCCGAGCTCAGGCTCAATAAACGAGCTTGATAAGTAAACGAGCTGAGCTCGGGCTTAGCAAAGCTCGGCTCGGCTCGTTTGCAGTCCTACCGAGTAATGAATAATTATTGATCACGTTATATATGTCATTGGATGTTGATCAGTATGAAGTGCTTGTACTCAAGTGGGGGAACAAAAATTAGACATCAACAGTTTAAAACTCCTTGAGGTGAGAGACAAATGCTGACTTGAATTGCTGATGGGTTTCATCTCATTCTTTATCCTATTCCACATTGTGTCACTATATTTTGATGAAATTACTGTTTATGTCAACCTCATCTCGATTGAAACATGACCTTTTCTGGTCACAACGCTATATTTTTTTCCCCTGGAAAATTTAATTAATGGCATGCCTTTTCTTTTTTCCATTCCCAGGTAGAAGAGAATAAAGTTGAGAGTATAAAGAGGGATAAGGCAGAGACTGAGAAATTGCTGCAAGAAACAATGGAAAACCACCAGGCAGAACTTGCAGTGCAAAAAGAATTCTATACAAATGCTTTGAATGCAGCCAAGGAAGCTGAAGCATTGGCAGAGGCACGTGCCAGTAACGAAGCCAAAACTGAACTGGATAGTCGTTTAAAAGAGGCTGAGGAGCGTGAAACTATGCTAGTCCAGGCTCTTGAAGAATTAAGGCAAACTCTGAGTAGAACGGAGCAGCAGGTTTGTATTAGAAGTATTTCAGATTGCAGGTTTCATTACTGGACCTGCTAAAATCTATAATTTGTTTTTCTTTATTTTCTTTTTGATACAGGCTGTTTTTAGAGAAGATATGCTTCGCAGAGACGTAGAGGATCTTCAAAAACGATATCAAGTATGTTGAGTTTCATCTGGTTGGCATTATCTATAAGTTTATTTTGCTTACATAAGGTGTTTATATTGTTTTAGTCTATTGTAATCAATAGCTTTTGAGATGATCCAATTTGGCTGTTATATGCATCCAGGCCAGTGAGCGTCGGTGTGAAGAGTTGGTAACACAAGTTCCTGAATCTACTAGGCCTCTTTTAAGGCAAATTGAATACATGCAGGTACATCTGTATATTACTCGTACACATTTATCCTTGAAGATCAGGGGTTCTATGCAGAAAACTGGTTCATTTATCTATTTCTTTGTTGTATCTTGACTTGACTCCTTTCTATACTGATAACAGGAGACAACTGCAAGAAGGGCGGAAGCTTGGGCTGCTGTCGAGAGATCCCTAAGCTCGCGGCTTCAGGTTTTCCAGAAGTGGTCTATTCCTTTCATCTTCATATTTTGGACTTGCATGTTTTTTAATAATTGAATCGGCAGGAAGCAGAGGCCAAAGCTGCAGCTGCGCAAGAAAGAGAGCGATCCATAAATGAACGGTTATCTCAAACCTTGTCTCGACTAAATGTCCTTGAAGCGCAGGTTTTTCTCATTCCTGTGGCTGTAATTGATATTATTGATGGAGTACTATCATAATCCTTACCTTACATGAGTGAGATGTTGCAGATTTCATGTCTTAGATCTGAGCAGACTCAGCTAAGTCGGTCCCTTGAAAAGGAGAGACAGAGAGCGGCAGAAAATAGGCAGGAGTATCTTGCAGCAAAGGAGGAAGCTGATACTCATGAAGGCCGTGTCTCCCAGCTTGAAGAAGAAATTAGGGAGCTCAGGAGGAAACAAAAGCAGGAGTTACATGAAGCACTAATGCACCGGGAACTTTTGCAGCAGGTTGAAATTGTGATTCTTATGTTTCTTACCAGATCTCTATCAGTATTAATGATGTTAAATCAATTGTCCAGCCCAAGCTTGGTATTTTTTAATTCATCTATCAACTAACTAATAAATTTTTATGGAGATTGGCGCATCACCACCCTAAGGGGAATTAGATATGTCTGCCCTTTTTGCTCGACAAAATTGTCCTAGTTTAATCTCACATAAATATTTTAAGTGTGTTGCTTCGGTTTTTTAAAAATTATTTTCCTAATCCTGTCTTGCAACCAGACCATCACATCAGTTTTTTGGCTATAAAGAGGGGCTCTATTTGAGAAAGCATAAAAGAGGAAGGGTCTACAAAAGATTTAGGAGGGGCAATTTGAATTTTTTTCCTGAAAGTATAATTTTCAAAATTTGAGGAGAGGTTTTCGTCCCTCCTGAACCTGCTGTAAATCTGCACTGGCTGTTGTTATTGTTCTGTTGCAACTACACTGAATCATCTTTCTGGATTTGTCTCAAATTATATCCGTGTTGTGCATAGGCATTATGTATGCCCTTTATATTTACTTCATCATTCTACAGTAATCTGTGAATTTTGAATTTTGAATTTTAATCTGAATATGTAACTGAAGCTTTATGGGTCAATGGAAAAATAATTAAAATGGTCAAACAATGTCATTGTTTTGTTGTTAGTAAGGTAAAAGGGATGGTGCTGCAAAACCTTTTCTGGTATGGGACAGTTTAGGTTGTATGTGAAACATTTTAAAGACTCGAAGCATGCATAATAACAACATAACCTTCTACTTCAATCGACAGGTCATACATTTTCTATTTGTAGTGTAAACTATCTATGCCATGTACAAGTTTCCTGAACTAGGCTCCCCATAATTTACCAGGAGATTGATAGGGAGAAAGCTGCTCGGTTGGAACTCGAAAGGACTGCTCACCTTCAGCCCTCCACTGTCTCTGACCAAAGTCCAATAACAAGGCAAAAATCTGGTTTTGAAAATGGTAACGTTACAGGGATTGTTTATTTAACATTGTGCTGTTGCTTATTTATTCATCTCAAGTAATTACTGATTTGTGCAGGAACTTTATCACGTAAACTTTCAAGTGCTAGCAGTTTAGGCAGTATGGAGGAAAGTTTCTTTCTGCAAGCATCTTTAGACTCTTCTGACAATTTCTCTGAGCGGAGAAATATTGGAGAGATGGCCACAAGCCCATACTTTATGAAGAGCATGCCACCAAGTGCTTTTGAAGCTAGCCTTCGTCAAAAGGAGGGTGAACTTGCAAGTTATATGTCTCGACTGGTATGGAGCATCATTATGTTGGATTATACATTATTTGATACATAACATACGTGAAAGTCTAGTTTTTGGTGCAGTATTTCATTTCTTGACTATTATTTGGGTTTATCTGCATAAGCTCCTTTTTTCTCCTGTTTTGTTTTTCTTCCTTTAGCTCTCATCAATTACTTGTTAACTTGTTACCCCCCCAGGCATCTCTGGAATCCATTCGCGACTCTCTTGCGGAGGAGTTGGTTAAAATGACTGCACAGGCAAGGTTTTATCCATTATCTGTATGATTCTTTCTCTCTCTCTCTAAAGGTTTACTAGCGTTGATTGCAGTGTGAGAAATTAAGGGTAGAGGCTACCATGCTGCCTGGCATCCGGGCAGAGTTAGAAGCATTAAGACGGAGGCATTCTGCGGCATTGGAGCTAATGGGTGAACGTGATGAGGAGGTATGTTAATTTCACATAATTCTCAATCATCATAGTGGCGAAATAGAATTGTGGAAAGGGTTTATCGATGTGAATTGCAATGCTATTCACTGTGTTTGGTTTGAATTTTTTGGATTAAGTTTTTTGAAAACTGAGTTTTTTGATTTTCGTATTTTTTTGTTTTTAGTGAATATTTTTAAAATTTTAAACATTTTTTTTTACTTTTTTAGATGCACCTTACTTAGATGTGTTTAAAAAGTAAAAAAATTGTGAAAAAATATTTTAAAAAATTAAGAAATACATAAAAATACAAAAAATGTACTAAGTTCTTGTATTTTTTTTTGTATTTTTAGTATTTAGTGAATTTTTAAAAGATTTTTTTTACAATTTTTTTACTTTTTAGGTGTATTTATGTTAGGTGTGTCTAAAAAGTAAAAAATTTGCATAAAATATTTAAAAAATTCAGTAAAAACAAAAAAACACGGAAAATAAGAGTGTAGAATTTTCTGAGAACTGTTTTTAAAAAATGGGAACCAAGCAAAGTGATTAGTATTTATTATTAAGGTACTTTGAGATTAAATAGACATGGTTAACATGCCTATCTTGTGGGAAGCGGGTGAATGTTATGAGGAGGTATGTTGATTTCACATAATCTCAATCATCATAGTGGCAAAATGGAATTGTGGAAAGGGTTTATCGATGTGAATTGCAATGCTAGTATTATTTAGTATTAAGGTATTAATTAGACATGGTTAACATGCCTATTTCGTGGGAAGGGCACTTTCCTGTATCAGTTTGTTGGAGCATAATGCAAGTTGTGAACATGAAAGAATCTTCGCATCCCACACAAAGACAGTGACAGCTATTCTCTAGAAGCATTCATGATTTAGGTTTTTCCTAATTTTGAACACATCCTGTATGGCTTACAAACCTGAAATTCTGAGTAGACTATGAGCCAATGACAAGTAATGCTATTGCTTAGATCTGAGTTCTTTCCATATCCTGTTTCTAAACCATTTTGACTTTGTTGAGTTAATATATATGCTTACATAACTTACAAGGCAAGGGATTGATGTGAGTATAAAGTTTTGATTTGTGAATTCCAAGGGATAGTTTAAGCTGGAATGAACACCTGAAGAACTTGTAGGAGTGCCATCTTTACGTTATGAAATCTTCCTAGATCTTATTGCTCTTTTCCCATAAAAGACCAAGTGACGGATGGAACTCTCTTGGCATCTCGTCTATCATTTGAAAGATTGTTAAGTGGAGACTTTTTCTCTTTTCCCTTTCGTGTTGGGGCTTAAAACTCCAATCAGACTTTATAATTGATTTGGTTGCCAAGGTGTATGAGAAGAAATAGAACTTCACTCTTCTTTGATTGCCAAAAAGTCAGAGGAGAGACTTCAAATTATAGGACAGCCAACCCTAAGAAATAGAACTTCACTCCTCTCTCTCTCTCTCTCTCTCTCTCTCACACACACACACACACATAGTAGCAGCAGTAACAAAAATAATACTTTGTTAATAATGTAAAAATTAGAATTTGTTTTTATGTAATTCTGATTTTTGGAAGTGGGTTTTATTTTTTTGATTTTTTCGTATAGCTGGAAGAACTTCGTGCTGATATTGTGGACTTGAAGGAGATGTATAGAGAACAAGTTAACATGCTCGTAAATAAGGTATTTGCGTTGTGCAACAAATTTGTGAATATTATTTCTTGACAGAAAGTTTCGTGTGTTACAGCTATACATGTCTGCATCTTTGTCTACAGATCCAGGTACTAAGTTCGTCTTAGGACACCACATGATAAAGCGACTTCTCACGACGGCTGTTTCCAGCTGATAGTCATATAAATGGTATAGCTTATACTCACGATAAAAGAGAGCTTATTTTATATATTTTTTGGATCATTAATATCGTTTTAAGTTTTTAAACTGTGTCTATATGTGGAAGATGTTACCTTATCAAATTATGTGTGTTCTATTTGATAGTGATGTTGTATGTATAGCATGAACACATGGCCGGTTTAAACTTGGAATGATTAAATGTTTTTGATTGTTTGTTAATAAAATTGAGTTTTTCTATCCTAAAATTGTTACGTCTTCTTTTAACTTTTTTATTTTTATTTTTAAAAAGTACTTTTTTTTAAATTTTATTTTGTTGACTGCATACACTTCCCTTTTGACAATACATTATGTACATTTAATCTCTACCAAATTGCCAAGTAGGTTGACAATTACTCAATACACAACCAATCTGCACGACCTCAAAATCAACGGGTTGGTTCAAGTGTTCGTAGGTTTTAAATTCTGATACATTATACGGAACACATTCTAAAGTCATAAAATCTTGTACTGTAATTTTGTTTGGGAGCATATCTTGTACTGTAATTGTGAGTTACAAAATCAAAATAACATAAATACATGATGATATACTTGTGTTTAGAAAGCGTCAATGATGATGATGAGTCAGAAAATGGAAAGATCTATTTAGAAGTTTCATAGATAGCGTAAATGGCAGGTTAGGTTCAGTTATTTTCCTCACTCTATGACCAAACAAGTTGAATACAAGGTTTATGTAGATCACTGATTTTTTCTTCACCTTTTCTCTCTTCTTTTATGAATTTCTAATTAAATTTATAATCCAAACAGAGTCTTATCAGGACTCTAGTTTTTGCTGCGTGTCATTAACCTTTGAAAACAGAAGAATGGACAACAAAGTTGCTGGCCCACAGGGCTTTTGTCACAATCTACTCTGATAATTAAGGGTCGACAATGGGCCAGACCAGCAGCTCAGCTTGCAAAATTGGTGTCCAAACTTGTTGGACTTTTTTTCTGGGCTGGGTCGACCCAGCGCCAAAAAATCTTTGTCCAATCTCTGATCAATTGGCTCGGTTTGAATGGGCTAGCAGGCCAGTTTGCGGGCTAAGTTCAATGGGGTGTAAAACTTTTATTTGTTTTTCTAATTTTTATCAATTTCAAAATATAACACTTTTTATTTTTCTTTTAATCAAATTTTCAAACATTTTTCACCCACTGAACAATTTTGCATCCCTGTGGGGGGCATCATTTGAAAATCTCTCAAAATAGACTTCCAGAAAAAGCATAAGAACAAATTAAAGGCATTTTCTTTTCTTTCAAGTCTCCTTTCCCTGAAGAGAATCCTTATCATAGTGAGTGGAGCTGCTTTAATTTTGGGTCTTCCTAGGAGCAATTCCAAAGTGCAGTCAAATCCCAATTATTGGTAAGAAAAAATTTAAAAATATAAAAATTCATTACAAAATTAGACCCAACCCTTTTAATGATGTTGCTTTTACCTTTTTGTGATTTTACCGGTTACAAAATTAGATATAACTCTCTCATTGAGATGTGTCTTACATTTTTATAAGTTCCTAAACATGTGAAAAAGAGTTGTATGCGATTGATTTGTATGCATATAGAAGAATAATCGAACCATTTATTTTATAAAGTCCTCAGTATATGTCATTTATGAAAAAATTTAGATTAATTTGACAATTATAATATTTTTATTTTATCGCATTTGTCATATATTTTTAAAATAGATAATTTTTTTTTAAAAAACAAACATAATAAAATGAAATGTTACGATTATTATATTGATTGAATTTCTTAATATATAATATGCATTGAGAGTCTCACGAACTTTTCAAATAGGTTAAAATAATCAATAAGATAAAATATTACATTCAATCCATAATTATTTTACTTTTTTTTCTTACAACCATTAAATCAACTATAAAAAAAAAAAGAAGTTAACCAATTTTTCAAACGCAACTATCTTAACCAGGCTAAAATACCCCCCAAAAAAACCAAATAGCCAACTTCCCCAACAAGGCTAGTGAAAAGAGAGTAGTAGAGTTTTTTTTTTAAAAAATGTATTTTATTTTTTATTAACAAAAAAGTAGTAGAGTTCATGGCCTTGTTTGGTTTGTATTTTGAGATATTATTTAAAAAATATTTTTTTAAGAAGAGTTTAGAAAATTTAAAAAGTTGTTTGGTTGTATATTAGTTTTGGAGTTTTTGAGATTTTTTGTAGTTGAATAGATGAGCGTGAGAGAAAAAGTGATTGATTGATGTGTAATATATAGAGAAAAGTGATTTTGATTTTGATTTTTTTGATTTCTTTTTTGTTTTTTTTTTTACAATTTTCAAACAAACATCTTTTTGAAATTTTTTCTCCGAAAACGTATTTTGAGAGACAAACCAAACATATATCTTCTTTTTAACACTACCGGTCTATCGCAGAAAATGTTATCTATTATAAGTCTTTACTTTAAAAATTATTTTAATAATAAAATGTAAAATATAAATTTAAAATGATAAATTACACTCATCTCTTTTGGGTTAGGAAAAAATGCAATTAATCTCATATTTTTTTATATGGAAAAATAATTCATCTCCAAAATTTTATCCCTTCAATTTTACCTCAAATGATGTGGAATTAGAGATGGGGCTAAAGATGAAATGAGATGAGATAAGAGGAGGGTGTTGGAATAAAGGGTCTTGAATTCTTCAAATGGTGGTCTTCGGGTCTTCAAAATTTGGCAATGACCTTATCTATATAGAACAGAAAATTAGTGCTTCAAGTCGCGTTACTAAGTTGCTTTCCTAAAGACAATATTTGTATCCACCAAAAGGTGTGCAGGGGGTTACAACAAATTTGCCTCCAAGATACAATGAAGCATGATCTAAAGATCTAATCTATCGACGTCTACACTGACGGCAAAAGATCAGAACACTCTTGATATAATTAAGAAACCAAGACACTGATAATCAAATCTGCAGAACCTGATTATCAATAAGAAAAACAGAAATTTGCTTGAGAAACTCTTGATTGAAAATTCAAAATCAAGAGGGAAAGAGAAAAAGAATTGCAAGAATGAATTCTAAAGGATTTTAGATGGAATGAAATGACTGATTTTGTAACCTATTTATAGGCCTTAATGGATCTGATCGAATGGTCATGTCCCTTGATCGCATCCGATCAGATCTGATTGTTGGATTGACGATCTATGGTGCAGATCATTCAGACACCGAATACATGCCTTGACTAATTACACCTGATCACGATTGGGTGCCATCTCATCCGTACAATCGCGCGCATCTCCAATCAACGGTTATGATCAACCTGCTCCAGATCGGACACACAATCGTTTGATCGGTTGGTTGTCTCATCGCCAACGGATGACACGTCACTGCCACGTGGAGCTGACTGTATTCCACGTCAGTCCATGTCATCGCTTCAACCTGTCCGATGCAAATAGGAAAGCGCCCTCATGGCGCCGATGCGTCCATGCTAAGTGCACCATCAAATGCCACATCGCCCACTGCCCACACCACGCGCGCGTGCGTGTGAGTGTGCGGATTGCGGTGTGGGTGCATGCACACTAGCTTTCATCCCATAGTTCCATATTCAAAAGAATATTCCATGTAGTACTTTATTAAGTGCTTTATGTTTTGCTCTCTTTCCAATGTGGGACAAAATCCCCAAGCTTAATTAATGCTTTCCAAAAAAAAAAACAAGGAATGTTTTGAAATCACCCAAAAATTAAACTATAAATTTTAAAAACTATTTTGAAAATTCCCCAACATTCCCCCACCATTTTCAAAATATTAGATGAAGACTCTTGGTTCACTTGGCAGCCTTATGCATAGGTGAAGATATCTTACGATTTGAATCATTCACTTAGTGACGACATCTCAAAGTTAGTCAAGATGGTATAGTAGACTTGTCTTTTAACTAGCGATCTTATACGATTAACCAGACATGTCTCACGCATAGTACAGGTTACCTCAAGTATTCAAACAAACCAACATGTGGATTGGCTTTGTGTCTATATCCCGTTTCATGAGCACTCTAGAATCAACCCCTTGGACTCATATGAAGCGGCACCACCTCCTACACTCACATAGGTAAGCTTACTGAGAGTACTCCTGTAATTTACAGTACCCTAACAACCTAGTTGTAAGCTTATTAAGAGTTTGTTAACTCATCCTCTTCTTTTCACATTATAGGTACCAAGCACTTCAATCTCGGGATGAAAATGAAATAAACTAAGTGCTTATAATTGGGCTTATTGAACTTAAGACTTGATGTTTCTTCAAGCCTTGAGTCGAGTTTCCACCAGGAGTGATTATGTTAAGTGGGCTTGAGACCCATCCCCTTTGATGTTTTCCACACTAAATTCCTTGCAAGTCCCGTTGTTAAGGGGTCAACCAAGTTTTCACTTGACTTTACATAACTAATAGTAATCACACCTTCTGTGATTAACTGCCTGACACAGCTATGTCTCAGTCCTATATGCCTGAACTTTCCATTATAGACATGGCTATAGGCCCGTGATAGAGTTGCGTCACTATCACAATGCAAAGATATTGGTGGCATAGGTTTTGACCATATCTTAATCTCTAACAAGAGATTCCTTAGTCACTCTGCCTCTTTGCTACAAGAAGCCAATTCTACAAACACTGATGCCATGGTTGAGTCTGCTATGCATGTTTGTTTCTTAGAACTCCAGGAGATAGCTCATCTTCCAAAAGTAAAAATCCAACCACTTGTGGACGATTGATCTTCACGGTCAGTTATCCGACTAGTATTCGTGAATCTTTCCAGCACTACTGGATAGCCATTATAGACTATTCCATAGTCTATTGTTTTCCTCAAGTACCTAAGTACTCGGTTAACAGCACGCCAATGCACACTACTGGGATTACTAGTGTATCTACTAAGTTTTCCCACTGAAAAAGAAATATCAGGTCTAGTGCAAGTCATGGCATACATCAGGCTACTTATTACTCTTGAGTATTCTAACTGATCAACAGCTCTTCCAGTATTAGGATACAATTTCAAATTTGAATCAAAAGGCGTAGACATAGGTGTACAATTATATTGATTAAATTTCTTAAGAATTTTCTCAATATAATGCGACTGGGTTAGAATCAAATTATTGTCCTCTCGTTTGATCTTAATATCCAAAATTACATCAGCCAAGCCCATGTCTTTCATACTAAAGCTAGACGACAAAATTTTTTTAGTACTTTCAATGACATCATTGTCAGTACCAAAAGTAAA